ATTCTCTTGATGGTGTTTTGGCAGAGCAAAAGTTTTTAATTTTGATGAATTCCAATTTATTGGTTTTTTTCTGTTGTAGATTGTGCTTTTGGCATCATTTCTAACCCCAGGTCATGAAGATTTTTTCCTATGTTTTCTTCTAAAAGTTTTATACTTTCATGTTTTACATTTGCATCTATGAACCATTTCAAGTTAATCTTTATATAAGGTGTGAGGTGTGAGGTGATCAAGGTTCATTTTTTTACATATGGATGACCAATTATTACAAAAACAATTTGTTGAAAAGACTATCATTTCTCAATGAATTGATTTTGCACCTTTGTCAGAGATCAAATGACTCTATTCATGTGGTCTACTTCAGGACTCTGTATTCTGCACCATTGGTCTATGCATCAATCCCTCCACCAATATCATACTGTCTTGATTATTAAAGCTTGATACTAAAGTGATTCCTCCAACTTTGTTCTCCTTTTCCAAATTTGTTTTAGCTATTCCAGTTCCTTCGCCCTTACATATAAACTATAGAATTATCTGGTCTATACCTACAAATAATCCTGCAGGGATTTTGATTGGCGTTGTATTGAATCTATGGATCACTTTGGAGAAAAATGACATAACTGCTACGTTGAGTCTTCCAACACATGAACAGCGTTTGTCTCTCTGTTTATTCAGATCTTCTTGGATTTCTTTTAGCAGCACTTTGTAGTTTTCATTATACAGTATACAGTATATTAGAATTGCTAAAACAGAAAATAGTGACGACACCAAGTGCTGGCAACCGGAACACTCATGTATTGGTCGTGGGAATACAAAATAGTACGCCACTCTGAATAATTGGCAGTTTTTTATAAAATTATACATACACTCACTATGTGACCCAACAGTGATAGCCAAAATCCGGAAAACAATCCAAATATTCTTCAAAGGGTGAATGGATACACTGTGGTACATCCACGCAATGGAATAGTACTCAGCAGTAAAAAAGAATAATATGCACAACAGCTTGGATGAACCTGAAAGACATGGTGAGTGAGACAAGCCAGTGTCAAAAGGTTGTGTACTGTATGATTCCTTTTATTTGACATTCTTGAAAAGGCAAAACTATAGTGCTGGAAAACAGATTGGTGATTGTCAGGGGTTATGCATGGAATGAGGGTTTATATGTCAATGAGTAGTACCAGGGAGCTTTTTGGTTGTTGGAACTGTAATGTACCCTCTTTGTGGTGGTAGTTACACTAATCTATACATGTGTTAAAGTTTATAGACCTGTTTGCTAAAAGAAAAAAGTCAGTTTTACCATATGATAATAAAAAATAAAATTATTTTTTAAAATGTCAAACTTCATTCTGTTTTATGAATCTTTGTATGTGACCTTATTTTTGTTTTATATTTTGTTTGGTTTTGATTTTTCTCTCCTCTCTCTCTGCTTTGATGTCAGTCAGTTTCATCAATTGTTCTTTATACTTGGTAAGCCCTTTTAATTTAGAAACCCATATTCTTCAGTTCTGTGAGTTTTCTTGATTTTTGTTGTTGTTAATTATCCCTCGCCTCCATTTTCCCTGTTCTCCCTTGCTGATATTTTTCAGACATTAAGCCTCTTAGCTTAGTTCTCTAATTTTCTCTTCTGTTTTCTTTCTTTCCTCTTCTTTCCTTCTGTATTTTTGTCTCTTTGTCTATTTTTGGAGACTGACTTAATTTTAAATTTGAAATCTCCTATTGTTTAATAACCAAGAGTTTACTTTTTGTTCTCTGTTTTCTTTTGATGGTATCCAATTCTTGTTTCATTGTTGTAATATCTTCTCTTGATGGTGGTGTTTTTCTTCTTCCTGAATACTTCCTTTTTTATTTTGTTGTATGTATTTCTCATTAGATGCTATCCTTCAATATCTATTGGGCCTTCTTTGCTTATATTTTGGAAGAGGATGAAAGCACTAATTGGAAGTTCATAGTGTGTTGTGGGGCTTGTCAACTTTGAGCTTCACTCTTCAGCAGTCTGGCTGGGCTGGATAGTTAGGGAACCCCCAAAGACAGTATCATTGGCTCTTTCCTTTTGGTCTGGTTTTTGTCTTTTTTGTCTCCTCTTTGGAGGGAAAGACCTGGTTCAGTGGAGGGAGAGGGCTGTTGGTCTCAGCATCCAAGATACTCATTTAATCCCCCTATTTCCAGTCCAGCATGTTGTCCTCAACTGTGTCTGTGTATTGCCAATTGAGAGGGCCTCTCTTTTACCTTTTCAAGGAATAAATATTTATTGGTCTGCTGTGGCAGGAAGGATCTGGGGATCTAATTGCTTCTGAAGCAGACTTTCAACTAACGCTTATTTTAGCCAGTCTCCTCCCCTCTTTCACTCCCACCTTCATAGGTATCTAGTGCTGCCACTCTGAGTCTTTCAGGCATCATTCTACGTAAAATCAGATTTGGTCTTGTTTTATCCTTGTGCTTAGCTTGCGATTCAGTTTTCTTTACTTGATATGTATGAGTGAGAGTTCTAATTCAAGTGAACAGAAGTCTGAAGAATCATTAAAACAGACCTCTAGTCATGGCCTCTCAATCTGTTCCCAAACTAAGTCAGTTTCCAGATGCAGAGCCCCTTCAAAAAGGGGCATCTGGGTCACCTTAAGAAAGGACCCCATTATGCAGCCAAAAATTTATACTGTTAATCTTTCTCCTAGCCTTTCCAAAAGTGACCTGTGACCATATACAAGGGTCTGTGCATTGGGGAAAGGGAACTAATCAGATTTTGGGGGGATTACTAGCCACTGGCTTTGAACTGACACTAATTCTAGGAAATTCAAAATGTCACTGTGATCCACCAGTCAGAGTAGGATCTTATGGAGGTCAGAGGATCAGTGGAGTTGTAGCTCAGGTCCTTCTCACAGTGGGTCCAGTGGACGCCCTAATCCACCCTGTGGTTATTTCCCCAGTTCTGTAATGCATAATAGGAAGAGACCTACTCAGCAACTGGTAGAATCCCGACATTGATTTTTCTTGAATCTTCTAAATAATTTACTGTTCATCAGTTTGCTTTCTAGTTTACAAATTTTATTGCTATCACCTCTTCCCGTTTGTTTTTCCTGTATTTGTGTGTTTATGACTTAAAAATTTTTTTTTATTGTTTTAGTGGAGTTCCAGTAGGGAATGAGTATGGTGCATATGTTCTGTTCCATCTTTACTTGCAACCTCTATCTATATTCTTTTACTAGATGATGTTGATCATGAATTTGTATCTCAAGCCCTACTTCTATTTCCCCTCTTTTCTCTTTGCATGAGCTCTCAGCATGCATTTACAACTGCTTACTCAACTTTTTCTCCTAATATATCTAATACACATCTCAGATGCTCAATTCCCAAGCCTCTCCTTGAAATGCCTATTTCTCATCCAATCTTCTTATACTTAATACTACTACCAGCCACGCACTTGCTCAATCCCAAATCCCCTTCCTTCTTTCCTACATCAATTTCCTAAGCAAGTCCTATCAGTCCTAGATTCAAAATATATCCAGAATATCCACCTCTCTCCATCTTTATGGCTGCTACCCTGATCTAAGCTATTTTCGTTTCTCACCTGGGTCTGTGCAGTAACCTCCCAACTGCTCCCTGCTTCCACTCTTGCCCTGCTACAAACCACTGTCTGCACAATAGCCAGAGTGAAAATTTTGAATTCTAAATTAGGCCACATGCCTTCCCTGATGCAAGGCCCTCATTGCCATTCCCCTGCACTTTGAATGGCGTCTACACTCCTTCCTCTGTCCACAAGGTCCCTGCCTAACTCTGACTTCAACTCCTGCCAATGTCTTCCTTGCTCCCTCTGCTCTGGTCACACAGGCCTTTTTGTTCATCAGACACACCAAGCTCATTCCCTCCTTTGGGCCCTTTGCAGTTGCCATTATGTCTTTCCCATATCGTCACATGGCTCACACCTCACTTCATTTAAGTCTCTTCTCAAATAGCATCCCCTCTGAGATGCCTTCCCTCACCACCCTCTCCACTTTTCTCCTAGATTCCCCATTACTCTCTATTGCATCGTCTTGTTTATTTGCTTCTGAAAGTATCTTGTTCTTTAACTTGGTCTTTCTCTTGCCATTTGAGTATAAGCCCTTTGAGGGCATTGGTCTTATCTGTCTGTTCTTTGCTGGTACCATCACATCTAGAGCAGAATCTGGCCCATAGTAGATAGATACTCAAAGACTGTTGGATGAGTGGGTCAGGGGTGGGGGGGGGGGGGTTGAATATGTGCTTGTTGAGTTCTACACTATTTTCATGTTCATTCTTCTGGGACATCTCAGAATTGAGCCTTTATATAGAATTTTTTCCCACCTTGACTGATTCTACTTAAGAATGCATTTATTTGTTCCTCTCTCTCCCTACCAATAAATCTGTTTTAGGGCTGCATATTTGAAGTCCCAAATAGCAGATTGCTGATCCTCTTTTCTGCCTTTAGCCAAGAAGTCACCTTAAGCTATAATTTGTGCAGGAGCCTGGATGAGACTTTGATGGAGGGACAACTGGTACACTTTCTCCCTCAGACCTGACTGATTATGGTGCTGATGGAGTATTTCTAATCCAGAAATAAGGTTTCTGGATTAGAAATGAGAGATTGCAACTAGAGATTTAGTCCTGATAGCTCACCTCTCAGTATTAGGAATCTACTTTTGCTTTTCTGCTCCCTCTGTCAGTCTTGTAATTTTCAACATCATTCTCTGCCAGCCACTGATCCTGTTAAAACTGAGGGTGAGATTCAGGCAGGGCTGGAGAGGTCAGTCAGTTTCATTGCATCATCTTCAGAAAAGAGTTGAGAGACTACAAATTGTCAAACTTCCTTTGTCTGGTAACCAGCTTTAAATATGATGCTTTCCAGGCTGCTTGTCCTTGAGTCATATGGCACTTAAGTATTTATGGGTCCAGTTATAAATTTATTTTTACTATCTAATGAAGTAGGGATGAACCCAGGAAATGACCCCTTTGCTCTTTTGTTTTTCTTCTCTCTGTTTTGTACAACTCAGGAGGTTCATCAAGAACGGATTGCATTGGAAAACCAATTGGAACAACTTCGTCCAGTCACTGTGTTATGACTCCCAAGATTCAAGTAACAGTGGTGACCTTTTCTGCCAAGGTCTTTCCTTTGAATTTTTCAACCCAACTACTTGTCAAAGATGTCTGAGACTGTGTCAAAAGCTGTGAGCAGCAGAATATAATCCATATCACCTTTTCTCTTGTACTTCACTTGTGCGTTTGACTGTGGTGGAAAAAATACAACTAGTTATCACACTTGTAATTGTCAGTGGAATTTATCTCCCTTTCTTAAGTACTTCCTTAAGGTGTTAGATGTTGCTCCCTACCAAAAACCAATCTTCTGGCAAATAAAAACAATTTAGAGAATTATTTATTTAAAGGATTTATGATTTGTACAAAACCTTATAACTGAGTACCTTCAGGATGCTTGTTTTATTTTTGTATGTATATCATATACAGTAGGTTGGTTTCCTGAATAGTTGAGATTCCAACTGGATAGTCTTTGGCATGATGATAATAAAAGCTAAAATAAAACAAAAGTATCGGATTTAGACTGGCGCTGTGCTCTCCACAACTATATGCCAAAAATTGCTTCTCTAGTGCCATTTTGATATTATATCTAGCTATAAATAATACATGACTGTTGTTTTCTATTGAATGGCAAAGATTTACTGAGTCTTTACTCCTCCATAAAGTGGAAGTTTCGTCAATGATCTATTTAACTTGGCCCAACTAGACCATCAACCCAGATAACTCATTCCTTTCATGTAAATTTTCAGGCAAGAGCAATCTGCTTTAACTGCCTCGCCCAATCAAATTAAATAAATAGTTGCCAGACCTCTACTCTTATCCTGCATGGGATAACATATCTGTAAATGCATGAATTTGGAAACCACCTATCAAATATGAAAGGCTGATGAGACTGTTTGGACTGATAAATATTTGGTGTTGAACCCCAAACTGAGGAAGAAGGGGAAATGGTTGTTACCAGCAATCCAACCATCTCTGGTACTTATTTTTGTCTTTGTTATTTTAACCTGGATTGTGAGTGTATTGGGTATGAAGAAATAATGAAAGCAAGCCAATCCTCACACTGGATATACTACTGTTTTGTTCTCTGTGAAGCATACCCTTAGGAGGTGATTGGTTTATGTACAGTCCAGAGGAGCCCAACTGACTCCAATGTAAGTCATGTAAAATAGTAAGCTCAAATTGCAGAAGCTAGTATCCTATAGAAATTTAGATAGCCACTGCTTCTCCTGAAAGCCCAAGTTGAAAGTGAGCATTGACCAACCGTAGAGGGATTGGGGCAAACCAGCTTTAACATCACTTCCAGAGACTGATGGAAGAAACGCTGTCTCTTGTACATTTTGCTAATTTACCCATTCTTAGGACAGAGGGGTAGGGTGTGCCTAGGCTCCTTTTTGAAGTAGTTTCGGATAGGTTTGCAGAATGTAGGATTAAGCCTTTGATTTTGGTCGAGTTGATGGCTTTTAGAAAAAGTAGGCATTTATTTAATGCTTCCTTTTCCATTGGCAAGCTTTATCAATAGCTTAATAGCCGAAGAGAAAGGCTCAAACAGATGATATTTTTCCAAAGAAAAACAAATTGTTGATTCTGTTCTATGCATATTAAAGGATTTTGCATTGATTTGATTTTGGAAATCACAAAACTTGAACTATTTCTCTATTGTACCTTTCCTTCCCTTTTGGCTGTCTCTTTTTGTCCTTGTGGGAAGGGTTTGGAGTCAGTTTAAACCCTTTCTAAGGTTGTGAATGGGTCATTGCAGATTTTTTAGGTAACCTCTTTTCCCATGTTCTGAGATCTGGGGGGCTGCAACAAATTTTATCAACAGTGTCCTTGTTGCAGACACTTCACAGCATGTTTGCCTTTTGTTATATTCAATCCAGGAAAGACTAGCATGCATTTTATCTCCTAATCTTCCAGTCCATATGCACTCACTCAACGTAGCACTTCATATCCATTAAACAGACATACAAACTAAGGAATGTTAGTCTACATTATGCATTTAAAAAATATTGACATGTTGTTTTCCCCCATCAAGTCAGTGCCAGAGTGAGCCCAATTAGGAGGTTGAGGTTTCCTTTAGTTGGCTTGGTTTTCATTAAAGGAAAAAACTTGCATTGGATGATCAAAGCCCCGTGAGTTGCATAGTCTCACCAATGTTTTAAGATAGGCATTGCATTAAAGCACACGCCAATAATCTCTATACCCAGCCTTCTTGACTGAACTTAATAGTGACCACAGTTTATTAGTTGCTTAGAAGTGGATTTTTAAAAAGCAATTAAATACACACACACACATACACATACATACACACTTCTCATTATTATTACCTAACTAGTGTTCATCCTGTATTTCTCTGTTTTTTTAGGATGTGCACTTTCAGTTTAGGATTATAACTCTTGATAATGTTTCTGTGAGCCTTTAATGTGATTTATAGGAAGGCTGGGTTATTGAAATCACTATTATACCTCTTGTATAAATCTACTCAAAAATTAGACCTGCTTGGGGAGAATTCTTGGACAGGGTCGATGTTGCCCCCATCCATGGGGGTTTAATGACCTTGTTGTTAAGTGCTCTACCTCCATAGGGATCCTTTAGTCCCAAGGATGAAAGCACAGTAGGAGTTGGTAGCGGGCTTATTGGGTATCTCAGTATCTCTTGAATGTGATGTATTGCTTTTGCCGCCTCCCTATCCAGCAGACATGAAGCAAAATGAAAAGGCAGATATCTGGAATGGAGGTGCATGTTGTAATCAAGGCAGATATTTGCCTTAATTAAGGATCTAACTCCTCTTTAAATATTAGAGAAGTGCTTTGGGCCTGATTGGGAGAGGAGGCAGCTTAACTGGAAATTATGCCCATTTTACTATTATTGGAGAGTAGGATGTCAGAGCTGAGAGGACCTGTACCCATCTCCTGCAGTTTGCTTGTGGGGAAATCGAGGCCCTAAGAAGCCGGTTCCTTGCCCAAGAATCCATAGAAAGAGGTAGCTGGTGGCAGAGTTGGGATGCCAGCCTGATTCTAAGTTGAGTCTTCTAGCCTCTAGCAATACTAAAAATGGATTATAAGGGTTTCTTCTATTTACCATGTTGAATTTTATTTACTTAATCAGCCTTAGAATATGAAAACACGTTTTAATGAGTTTTAGATCTAGATATTTCTCTTGGATTGAGGCAGAAAATAAAGTCTGAAGGGAAAGAATATGATTGAACTATTTGTTCTTTTGAACACCTCACCTTTCATGATGCAATAAATTACTCTGAGTTTCTTGGCAGAACTTTTGACAGCTGTTGCTTTGAATGGATTCCATTCCTATATTCCTTATGGGAGTTTGTTTTTAAAATAGACTACTGTGATTGAAATGAACTCAATATGTAGTAAGTTATAGTTTTCTTCAATATATCTTTGGTTACTTGGGTTGCAAATGTTCAATTTCAGCATATTTTAGGGTGAGTAATCAAAAACGTGAATTTCCTTTGATTTCCTACCAATGTCTGAACTATCATAAAGCATTCTTCTCTTCATATGTGACTAGGTTCTGTAGTCTGTTTCTAAATGATATTTGTTTATTTCTTAAGTGATCTCACAACCATGGTAATAATAGATGTGTACTCAGAAAATCAATAACAAAATAATCTGGAATGGGTGTGTTTCTTGCAATTAAAACAGGCATTTGCAAATGTTGTCTTCTAAGCAGTAGTTGGAAAGATCTCAATTATAGTATAACACCTTAGAGTTAAAAACATTTGTTCAACACAAACTAGAATCACACCTCCTGACTAGATATCACCAAGGGAATGCAATTTTAAAAATATAAAAAAAGAATTTGAAATATCATAGCAACCAGATCTTCCCATATTATTGACAAGTAGAACTCAGTAGGTTGTGGTTTGAACATTATGAATGTGAACAGACTGAGCTATCAGTTCAGAAGTCTTTTTTTCCTCTAGTTAAATAGAACACAAGTAACTTTGGTTTCTCTTTTGAACCGGTTTACTCTGTTTCAAGTGTACTCTTTTTTAAAACTGTGATTTCAAAGGATCGCTTGAATTTGCACTTTAGTTATGGGTGTTTTGTTATGGTTTTTTTGCATCATGACTCAGTGTGGTTCTCCTACTAAGAAGTGGGGATTTGGGTTTTTAGAGCCCTGAGGTGGCATATCTTGCTTCTCCTTGGGCACAGGCTAAGGGAGACTGCCCACCAATGCCAACAGATCGGTCATGGATGGCAATTTGAATGTGAGTCTTACTCTGTGAGGCACCCTGCTTTTGCTTGTTTGCAATGAGAAATGTAGCTAGTTACATGACCCTCCCAAGAGCAACAGTAAGAACTTCAGACACAGAGGGTCAGACTTTAAAAGCAATGCAAGCAGATTCTAAGAGCTGCTTCCCTCCCCAAAAATAGGCTTTCAGAGGTTGCCTTACAAGCGTTCCCTAAAACAGTCTGTTAATGTGAGCAAGACATCCCAGGTACACAGTTGCTTTTAGGCTTGTATAGTTATTTTCTACATTTACTAATACACTTGATGATAAAGGAACCTTTTCTAAAAGGCATTGCAGGGTTTCAATTGAGAGGACTTGTTCTAATTACAGAAGCGTTGCTCTGGTCTCCTGAGTTGGAGAATGTTCATATTTTATGTTTTGTCAGTTCTCCTGCCTTGCTCTTAGCTAAGTTCATGGCTGTGGGAGGTTGGAGAAAGTGGGTTTATGACTCTGAAGACCAGAGGATATTGGACTTTTAAGAGGGCTTGAGTTGGGATTTGAGGGCTACAGCCCTCAAATATTTTTGTCTTCAGCACAAATACGATGTTCAAGTGAGCCAGAGGTGGGAAGAGCCATTTTAGTCTTCATAGCAGTGGGCCCGGAGAGATCATGAGCTGATGGTCTATTTTAATCTTGAAAGTAAAAATGTATATTTTTTCACTACAGGTACATTAAACAGTAAAATGAGTAACAGCAAAGTATATATTTGATGCCTTCTGTCTTTTCATGATGATGTGCTAACAAGTTGTGTTAATACTTAGCCAGAGTCTCATTCATTTGCTAAGCATTGGGAATATTATGTATATTGATCTTAAGCATAAATAAATATAGGGCATCCTATATTTGGATTGTGACTTGTAGACTCAAGCTAACCTTACTGCCTCTTTTTCATATTTGTTGGAAGGTGTGTTAAGAACATAGTAGGTTAAGAATTTCCAACTTTAGAAAATGTACATGATGTGAAACTGGGGTGCTATGTTAAAAATAAATGTATGATAACTAAGCGTGGCTTTTATGGAGTCTTGGTGTCAATATATTGTGGTCCATATTTGGTCTCATGCATTTAATGCAAGTGACATGAAAAGGAATTGGAAGTCTTCCCAATTAAATCAAAGTCTGAGACTTGATTATTTTTACCTCCTGGTGATCTGAGCTAGGTCCTTAAATGTCTGCACACGGTAAACACTGGGCAGTCATGAGATATCATGGCTAACTCGCAGTGCATTTTAAAGATCCACTGAATTGAAAACTTGCCTTAACGTGGGATCTGGTTATTTGCTTCATCTTGTCAATGTTCTTTTGTTCAAAAATGTTCTCAGCATGATGTCCTTAGCTGGAGTGGGAGTAAAGGGGAGGGATCAGGAAGAATTGGCTTGAAATCCCAGCCAAGTACTCTGGCACCAAAGTTGCAGTTTCTTACCTTTAAAATTTGAATTTTAGGAGGCACCAGTCTCCTATCAGGTAGAGGTTTTATCCTGTATTGTAGGTGCAAATGGTGGGTTACACATAGGATATTTCCAATCTCGTAGTTCCAAATGCCAGACTAACTCTGGAATAATCATCCCTGATTTGGCTCATAAGCTTAGACACTGGAGATCACCAGGCCCTGACCTTTCCCAGGCACTGGTGAGGATCACTGGGTCACATACTTTAGAGATAAAAGAGATGTGAGATCAAATAGGCAAGTCATTCACAAAGTGTAGCCCCCAGATCAGCAGCATCAGGGAACTTATTAGAAATGCAAATTCTAGGGACCCGCCCCAGACCAGTTCAATCAGGAAGTCTGGGAGTGGGCCTGGCAATGTGTGTGTTAATAAGCCCCCCAGGTGATACTGATGCTCACTAAAGTAGAACTGCTGATCTAGCTAACATCATTTTACAGTCAAGGAGGCAGTGGTGCAGAGAGGCAAAAGTGACTCATCTAGGGTCTCAGCTAATTCAGAGCCAGGGATCAAAATGTTCTCAGGGCAGACTTTCTGCTGTGCAGCTGTGTCCATTCATGAGTTTGTTCCCTCTCCTGACCTTCCTTCCACAGATGTTTACTGTGCCCCTACAGTGTATCAAGCACTATGCGAGGAGCTAGAGATGAGACCTACAAGACGGAATCCCTTCCTCAAGGAGCTCACAGAGACCTGCAAATGAATTGCAGTGCAGTGTGGGATAGGTACTGCGATGTATTAATCAGGGTGGGCTAAGTGCTATAACAAATAACCCCAAGAGTTCAGTGGCTTGACACAATGAAAGTTTATTTCTCACTCACAGTCCAGAGTGGATGTTCGTAGTTGTGCCATTTTCTTTGTGGTTATGCAGGAACCCAGAATCCTTCCATGTGTACCTCCATCTTCCCCTAGGGCTCGAGAGTTTTCTCCTTTTTAGCCAGTGTGTGGAGAAAAGAGAGACTGCAGAGAGGATACAATTTCTCTTCACAGAAGTGACACACATCACTTCTATGCATATTTCATTTCCCAGAACCCAGCCATATGATAGCAGTTAACCACAAGGGAGCCTGGGAAATGTAGTCTAGCTCTGAGCTGAAGAGGAAAAAGTTGTGGTGAGCACAGTTCACCAGTAGACACAAGGCCAGGTTGCTCTGAAAACACACAGGAGGGCCATCTAACTCAGACTGTGGGGATCCAGGAAAGCTTCATGGAAGAGTCTTAAAAGAGGGATATGCATTAACTAAGAAGAGGATGTTCCAGGCAGAGGGAGCTGTGTGAGCTGAGGCAAGTCGGGGTAAGAGTGTAGTGTATTCTGGGAACTGCAGAAGATTCCCCTCTGGATGGAATGGGTGGATGTGGAGTGTGGAAGGGAGGAAGCGGCAAGAGTCAGGCACAGGGCCTGATGGGAAGGCCTTGCATATCATGAGACGGCATAAAGCATCCTGAGATTACAGCCCTTTTCAAGATTTAAGCACAAATGCATGAAGTCACTTCACTAATATTTAAGAAGTGATTTGTGTTCTCCCAATTTTTTCCTACCCCCTAGATTGGAAATGCTTCACTGGGAGATTGCAAACTAGCATTTCTGACATGAACCAAGTCTGTTAGTTTGATTTTTTACACATCTTCTGGCATGTGTTTGGACAAGGGACCAAAGCCCAGAACACAGGGGACTAAACCCTGGTGGGCAGGAGTCCTATTGGATGACATGAGACTTTTTCCATCCTCAACTCTTTCTTTTTGGGGGAGATATCAGGGGCCCCGAGATGACCAAGAGGTGCAGGGCTCTTTTTTTTTTTTTTTTCCTTTGGTGAGAAGGCTTATCAAAGTGTAGAAATGAAGAGTTTGGAAATGAAGCTGAAATAGCCAATTCCTTTTGAATAAAGGGTTCTCAGTTGAAGTTATTTAACAATTCTGAAAAGTCCCCAGGCCTTGGGGAGAAAATGCTCCCAGTGTAGCATCTCCATGGCAAACTCCACCTTCAAAGAGTGCTGCCATATTGTTTTTTGAATATGCGGTGTTCTGGAAGTGTGAACATTAGTGTTTGCAGGTATCTGAGTGGTTTTCCCCTCATTGCATTTTTCTTTAAAAACATAGAATAAAAAGGATCTTTATCTTTGGTTATAAGATTGTAACCCAGATGTACCTTCTTTTATTTGCCCTGAAGTCCTCTTAGCAGATTTGGCAAAAAAAAAAAAAAAAAAAAGCATTTGGCACAGGAACTGTTTAAAATTTTCAAGATTCACCTGTGAGTATCCTTTAGCATCCTAAGCAAAAGCAACATCAGCAGAAGACATAAATATTACATGTCTATCTGTGTGTGTGTATATATATTTCTGTCTTCTGCTTCTGCTCATGTGCTTATACTTGTGATATAAATGTAAATGTATATTTAAAAAATAGTAGCCATGGGCCTGGCCCCATGGCTGAGTGGTTAAGTTCACACACTCTGCTTCAGCAGCCCAGGGTTTGCCATTTTGAATCCTGGGCGGGGACCTACACACCACTCATCAAGCCATGCTGTGGCGGTGTCCCACATAGAAGAACTAGAATGACTTACAACTAGGATATACAGCTATGTACTGGGGCTTTGGGGAGAGAAAAAAAAGAGGGAGATTGGCAACAGATGTTAGCTCAGGGCCAATATTCCTCACCAAAAACAAAAAGCATACCTCAAAAAAAAAAGAGAAAAATAATACGTATAATTTGAAAAACAAAACATCCACAGGAATTGTTTAGAACATAAACCAATAGAATATTTTTTTGGGGGAGGAGCATTTTATCATTGACCAATGTCTAAACAATTTCAAAATTGCTGGCATATGGTGATGATAAAAGCAAACTGACTTTTATTCAATTTTATTGTTGTTTTTTAATTTTCTACAGAGAATGTACCCTTTATTCTTGGACCTGGGGTGGACCACTCCCATCTTTGGTACACCACTGGGAACACAGCACATGCCTCCACCCCTGTATTAAACTTAATCAAAGCTGCTAGGCTGAAGGAAAGCCAAGGGGAAAGAAAGATAATGTTTGGGCAATGAAATAAAGGAAAGCAAAGCAAATTAAATACAGATACAGAGAATTGTGATGCAAGACCTTTGAAATGCAAATGAAATTGGCTCTAACCTCAACCCATGTGTGGTGAGAGCCTGCATCTCAATCTTTCTGGAGATTCTGAGAGGCAGAGGTAATGGTGGAGGAACTGATGTTTTTATCCTAGTCACTTCTGGCTCTAGTATGCTTCCTAGGAATTAGTTTGATAGATGGATCATCTGTTTCCCCCCTAAACATCATTTACACAAGGAATTTGTGTGTATGTGTATGGAGAATGGGGTGGAGTGGGAAAGGGGCAGAATTTATAGAATATTTAGGGAAATGGGAGCTTGTAAATAGTTTATATCCAGGCCTACCACATCGCACAACTCCAGGGGACATTGTTCACATTGTATTCTATGCGAAAGATGACCCTCTGAGTTTGTGATTGAGCTGTCTTGTTTATAATAGCTCCATGCTTCACAGTCCACTCTTTCTCAAAGTGTTCCTCCTTTCCCTCTTTATATTGTTCTGCTTCTGCTAGTTGAGGGAAGGTGGGCAGGTGGCAACTGTGGGGATCCTGCCAGTATTTCTAATTCAGTGCTCATACCCCCACTACAGATCTCTCTTCCACCCTTCCTGTTTCTAGTCTGAGTCTAGGCCAGTAGTTCTCAACTGGGTGCAATTCTGCCCCTGCCACGCAAGGAACATTTGGCAATGTCTAGAAACATTTTTGGGTTGTCACCACTTGAGGAAACATCTGGTGGGTAGAGGCCAGGGGTGCTGCTAAACGTCCTGCAGTACACAGGACAGCGCCAAATGTCAATAGTGCCAAGATGGAGAAACTTGCTTTAGAGGAGCTCCTTGGGCTTCCCTCCATTTCCCTCAATTATCCAGAGCAATGGAGCTTTCTCACCACTACTACCAGGGACACCCTTTCACAGGGTGCTAAATTAGTCCACTAATTCAGATACCGCTAGGGTCCAAGCCTGAATGTAAATGAGTGAAGCAAGTCAGGAGTAAGATAAGTGGCACTGGCCCATACACCTCAGTGATAGGGAACAATAGGTGGCGACTATGACAAATTGGAGCTTGCATACCTTGTCTATAAAGGCAGCTCTACATTCTTGCTATACACACTCCTGTATTGCTAGATTTCTGATTCCTTGAGAGAGGCTCAATATCTCATCTCCCATACTCCCCAGAAAGGCCCTTTTGTGTTATTTACTTTTTTATTGAGGTATAATATACATACATACATGCACTAATTTTAAGTGTTCATCTCAATGGTCAAGGTAGAGAATCTTGAAGAACAAAGTTGGAGGACTTACACTATTAGATTTCAAGACTTATTATGAAGTCACAGTAATTAAGAGTGTGGTATTGTTGCAAATGTTAGACAAATAGATCAGTGGTACAGAATAGAGAGCTCCAAGACACCTCCACACATATACAATCCCTTGATTTACAATAAAGACGCCATCATAATTCAGTGGGGAAAAGACAGTCTTTTCAATAAATGGTGCTG